GTGTCCAGTCTGCTTGCAGTAGAAGCACTCAGTCTCAGGCTTAGGTCCAGACTTGGGTTTCTTCTCTTGAGCAGCAACTTGTTTGCTGTTCTTCTTAAAGTTCCCCTTCTTCTTCCCTTTGCCCTTTTTCTTGAAACTGGTGGTCTTGTTGACCATCAACACTTGATGCTCCTTCTTGATTTCTAACTCCGCGGCTTTTAGCATTGCGAAGAGCTCGGGAATAGTCTTGTCCATCCCTTGCATATTATAGTTCATCACAAAGCTCTTGTAGCTTGGTGGCAGTGATTGAAGAATTCTGTCAATGACACTATCATTAGGAAGATTAACTCCCAGTTGAATCAAGTGATTATTATACCCAGACATTTTGAGTATGTGTTCACTGACAGAACTATTCTCCTCCATCTTGCAGCTATAGAACTTATTGGAGACTTCATATCTCTCAATCCGGGCATTTGCTTGAAATATTAACTTCAACTCTTGGAACATCTCATATGCTCCATGACGTTCAAAACGTCGTTGAAGACCCGGTTCTAAGCCGTAAAGCATGGCACACTGAACTATCGAGTAGTCATCAGCTTTGCTCTGCCAGATGTTCTTAACATCGTTAGTTGCATCAGTAGCAGGCCTGGCACCCAGCGGTGCTTCCAGGACGTAATTCTTCTGTGCAGCAATGAGGATAATCCTCAGGTTACGGACCCAATCTGTGTAATTGCTACCATCATCTTTCAACTTTGCTTTTTCAAGGAACGCATTAAAATTTGACGGAACAACAGCACGAGCCATCTATCTACAACAAACATAGACAAGCAAAATACTATCAGGTACTAAGTTCACGATAAATTTAAATTCAATTAATCATATTACTTAAGAACTCCCACTTAGATAGACATCCCTCTAATCCTCTAAGTGATTACGTGATCCATATCAACTACACCATGTCCGATCGTCACGTGAGATGGAGTAGTTTCAACGGTGAACATCAATATGTTGATCATATCTACTACTCCCTCCGTCCCAAAATTCTTGTCTTAGATTTGTTTAGATACGGATGTACCTAATACTAAAATGTGACTTGATGCATCCGTATTTAGACAAATCTAAGACAAAAATTTTGAGACGAAGGGAGTATATGATTCACGCTCGACCTTTCAGTCTCCGTGTTCCGAGGCCATATCTGTTATATGCTAGGCTCGTCAAGTTTAACCTGAGTATTCCGCGTGTGCAACTGTTTTGCACCCGTTGTATTTGAACGTAGAGCCTATCACACCCGATCATCACGTGGTGTCTCAGCACGAAGAACTTTCGCAACGGTGCATACTCAGGGAGAACACTTCTTGATAATTTAGTGAGAGATCATCTTAAAATGCTACCGTCAATCAAAGCAAGATAAGGTGCACAAAGGATAAACATCACATGCAATCAATATAAGTGATATGATATGGCCATCATCATCTTGTGCTTGTGACCTCCATCTTCGAAGCACCGTCGTGATCACCATCGTCACCGGCGCGACACCTTGATCTCCATCGTAGCATCGTTGTCGTTACGCCATCTATTGCTTCTACGACTATCGCTACCGCTTAGTGATAAAGTAAAGCAATTACAGGGCGTTTGCATTTCATACAATAAAGTGACAACCATATGGCTCCTGCCAGTTGCCGATAACTTCGGTTACAAAACATGATCATCTCATACAATAAAATATAGCATCACGTCTTGACCATATCACATCACAACATGCCCTGCAAAAACAAGTTAGACGTCCTCTACTTTGTTGTTGCAAATTTTACGTGGCTGCTACGGTCTTAGTAAGAACCGTTCTTACCTACGCATCAAAACCACAACGATAGTTCGTCAAGTTAGTGTTGTTTTAACCTTCGCAAGGACCGGGCGTAGCCACACTCGATTCAGCTAAAGTGAGAGAGACAGACACCCGCCAGCCACCTTTAAGCACAAGTGCTCGTAATGGTGAAACCAGTCTCGCGTAAGCGTACGCGTAATGTTGGTCCGGGCCGCTTCATCTCACAATACCGCCGAACCAAAGTATGACATGCTGGTAAGCAGTATGACTTGTATCGCCCACAACTCACTTGTGTTCTACTCATGCATATGACATCTACGCATAAAACCAGGGTCGGATGCCACTGTTGGGGAACGTAGTAATTTCAAAAAAATTCCTACGCACACGCAAGATCATGGTGATGCATAGCAACGAGAGGGAAGAGTGTTGTCCACGTACCCTCGTAGACCATAAGCGGAAGCGTTATGACAACGCGGTTGATGTAGTCGTACGTCTTCACGATCCGACCGATCCAAGTACCGAACGTACGGCACCTCCGAGTTCAGCACACGTTCAGCTCGATGACGATCCCTGGACTCCGATCCAGCAAAGTGTCGGGGATGAGTTCCGTCAGCACGACGGCGTGGTGACGATGATGATGTTCTACCGGCGCAGGGCTTCGCCTAAACTACGCGACGATATGACCGAGGTGGAATATGGTGGAGGGGGGCACCGCACACGGCTAAGGAACGATCTTGAAGATCAACTTGTGTGTCCTAGGGTGCCCCCCTGCCCCCGTATATAAAGGAGCAAGGGGGGAGGCCGGCCGGCCCTAGGGGGCGCGCCAAGGAGGGGGGAGTCCTCCTCCTAGTGGGAGTAGGATTCCCTTTCCTAGTCCCACTAGGAAGGAGGAAGGGGGAATGAAAGAGAGGGAGAGGGAGAGGGAAAGAGGGGCCGCGCCCCCCTCCCCTAGTCCAATTCGGACTCCCCATGGGAGGGGGCGCGCCACCTCCTGGGCTGCTGCCCTCTCTCTCCCCTCAGGCCCATTAAGGCCCAATACTTCCCCGGGGGGTTCCGGTAACCCCTCCGACACTCCGGTTTTCTCCGAAATCACCCGGAACACTTCCGGTGTCCGAATATAGTCGTCAAATATATCAATCTTTATGTCTCGACCATTTAGAGACTCCTCGTCATGTCCGTGATCACATCCGGGACTCCGAACAAACTTCGGTACATCAAAACTTATAAACTCATAATAAAACTGTCATCGTAACGTTAAGCGTGCGGACCCTACGGGTTCGAGAACTATGTAGACATGACCTAGAACTATTCTCGGTCAATAACCAATAGCGGAACCTGGATGCTCATATTGGCTCCTACATATTCTACGAAGATCTTTCTCGGTCAAACCGCATAACAACATACGTTGTTTCCTTTGTCATCGGTATGTTACTTGCCCAAGATTTGATCGTCGGTATCCAATACCTAGTTCAATCTCGTTACTGGCAAGTCTCTTTACTCGTTACGTAATGTATCATTCCGTAACTAACTCATTAGCTACATTGCTTGCAAGGCTTATAGTGATGTGCATTATCGAGAGGGCCCAGAGATACCTCTCCGACGATCGGAGTGACAAAACCTAATCTCGAAATACGCCAACCCAACATGTACCTTTGGAGACACCTGTAGTACTCTTTTATAATCACCCAGTTACGTTGTGACGTTTGGTAGCACCCAAAGTGTTCCTCCGCTAAACGGGATTTGCATAATCTCATAGTTACAGGAACATGTATAAGTCATGAAGAAAGCAATAACATACTAAACGATCAAATGTTAGGCTAACTGAATGGGTCATGTCAATCACATCATTCTCCTAATGATGTGATCACGTTAATCAAATGACAACACATGTCTATGGTTAGGAAACATAACTACCTTTGATTAATGAGCTAGTCAAGTAGAGGCATACTAGTGACGTTATGTTTGTCTATGTATTAACACATGTATCATGTTTCCGGTTAATACAATTCTAGCATGAATAATAAACATTTATCATGATATGAGAAAATAAATAATAACTTTATTATTGCCTCTAGGGCATATTTCCTTCATTTATCACCGGTGCTCATGGAGATGGCGGATGGGGGACGCGGTTGCAAGAAGGGAACGACAAAGGCTCGACCACCGATGTAGGATAGGTTTTTTTTTTCTAAATGTTCGAAATGTAATGAAAATCCACCGTGTTTGCATGAATGTCATCCGGATTATATGAAATCCTTACACCAAGTTCGTTCGGTTTATATGAAATATGTCGTGTTTGCACAAGTTTTGTCCGGTTAGTTCCAACAGTTGTTGAAATGAATGCGGGCAACGTTAGATGGCAGCCTCCGGCATTAGTATACGGCAGACTGGTCCCCCTATCAGCGCACAGATGCCGGAGCAAATTTGCGGGTCAGCGTTTGAGATACCCTTATATTCTTTTTTAGTATAGTATAGATAATAAAGATTTTTGTTCCAAGAGAAAGAACAAATTTATATGCCTCTTTTATCTAAAATAATTACAGCTATCAACCGTGTTTCGAAAACACATGAATGTTACTCCCTTGACCCGTATTACTTGTCGTTCAAACCGCATATTACTTGTCATAGGGAGTATGATTTATTAAAAAAAATCAATGGGATACTTTTATTCCTATATAACGTACGTAATTTTGAAATATCTGAAGCGAACTTTGTCCTTTCTCCAAATACCAATTTGAAAGTTTTGTTTATGTAGAATGAAGTTTCACACATTTTCTTCTACAAATCTTGGCATAATAATAAACCTGTAATATAAATATACATACAGGCCCAGACAAAAACTGGTAGGATCGGACGGCTCGTGCGCTCCCGTTCCTGATCGGACGGCGGGATCCGCGGGCGGGCAGACTTAAAGCGGAAGGTTCCTCCTCCTCCGGCTCGTCGCCACCTCCGCTCCGGCAGTTACCGGTTCGCTGCTGCGTGCTGCGCTGTGCCTGCGCGCGTGCCACCCTCGCCGCCGGGTTGCCATTATGAGTTGAGTTGGAGCCCGATCTCCCCGTCCCCGTTGCGTTAGCCCCACCACCTTCTCACTCATAACTCCCTCCCCTCCCCCTCCCCCGCCTCCTCTCCTCCCTCGCTCCTGGCGCGGCACCCGCACGCCGCAGTGCAGATCTCCTTCCCCGAGGAGGAGGAGGAGGAGATGGTGAGCGCGTCCAGCCTGCTGCTGCCGTCCTCCATGCGCGACTTCGCCTCCTGCATCGGCGACGGCGCCGTCCGCGTCGCCTGCGCCAGCCCCTCCTCCACCCTCACCTCCGGCGGCGGCTCCGCCTCCGGCTCCACCCTCGCCGTCACGGCGTCCTACCGTGCCACGCTCCTCAACTCTAACGCCTCCTCTCCGCCGCTGCTGTTTCGCCTGACCTGGGCCCACTCCCCGGTGGGCCCCATACTGTCTTTTGCTCCATCCGCCGCTGCGCCTTCCGTTCTCCTTCGCAGGCGCAGGGGCACCCGCTCCTTCACTCTCGCGGACGGCGGCGGCGATGCGGATGATGCGGAGGCGGGCTCGGAGCCCCCCGTGCTCGCCCTCTTCTGGGACCTCACGGCGGCGCGGTACGACCCCGGGGCGTCGCCGGAGCCGCTCTACGGCTACTTCGTCGTCGCCGTGGCCGGCGCAGAGGTCGTGCTCGCGGTGGGCGACCTGGCCGCGGAGTTCGTCAAGACCAAGTTCGAGGGCCAGATCTCCAAGGCGCGGTGCCTGCCGGTGTCGCGCAGGGAGCGCGTCGTGGTCGCCGACCCGGCGGCAATGCACACCGCGAGGGTGCGCTTCGCGGAGGGCGGGCCGGAGCACGAGGTGAGCGTCGGGTGCGCCACGAGCTCCGGGGGAGGGGAGGAGCTGTGGGTCAGCGTCGACGGGAAGCGAGCGGTGCAGGCGCAGCGGCTGCGGTGGAACTTCAGGGGCAACCAGACGGTGTTCGTCGACGGCGCGCCGGTGGACGTCATGTGGGACCTCCACGGGTGGTGGTTCCGGGACCCGCCGGGCTGCGCGGTGGTGATGCTCCGGGCAAGGAGCGCGCTGGAGAGCCGGCTGTGGCTGGAGGAGGAGGGGGCGGCGCCGGGGTTCTCGCTCGTCGTGCAGGCCTTCAAGGCCCCGCCATGATGTCCATGATGAGGTTCCCGCTCGCCCCTCACTCTGGCTATGGCTGCTCTACCTCTACCTGCCCATTTGGGAAAAGGTAGCTGATTGAATTTAGCAAAACCAAGACGAATGCGATGTTTGGTTGGTTGGTGTTAATTTACAGCTCTAGACATATGTAGCTTGTTTTTGGAGGGACAATAAGCTCGGGATGAAAGTGAAACATAATTCATGGATCATTTTAGGTGGTATACTGTGAGAGAGAGAGAGAGAGAGAGAGAGAGAGAGAGAAGATCAAATCAACATTCCAAAGATAAACTATGAAGACAAATCAATATTGAAGACAAATCAGCTTTCGGGTTCCCACAATCTGAGATCCATCAAAGCATCTAGAACCCAAGTGTGCAAATTTGACCCCTTATATATCTTCGGACGCATCCGGTCACCCCTCATTTGTCTGTCACCGGAAAAGCATTTACAGCCGGACTTGGCAAATCCAATCCATCAAACACCCGTGGACGTGCCCGGGCGTGTCCGCGGACAGTGACCGGCCACCTCTCAGAAAACGCATTCCACATCTAGATACCTCAAATCCATATTATTACAAGCAACGTGAATCCTAATCTACGCGGAGTTCGTCCGGTTCCGCTCCCCGCTCGCCCGGCTTCGCCCTGGCCATGTCCGGCGGCCGGCTGCGCTCATCAGAGTGCTGGGCCGGTCACCGGCAAGGTAGAGTAGGGCATGGGACACGAGCTGGCTAACGGTACTCAAGGCCCCGCCGTCTCCCATGCCCTACTCTTCCTCGTTGGAGACCGGAACCCGAACGGTGCCGGTGGACGTCAGATCGATGAGGATCCTTCCGGGGACGAGCCGCTGACGTCCATCATGATGTGCTTGCGGCGCCCGGACTGATGCGACATACGGGGCACCGGAGAATGCGACTCCGCCTCGCCGACATCCGCCGTCGTGAGGGCTGTCGCCGCCTCCCGCGCCCGGTGGCTTGCACGGCGGGCACGCTGTGCCATGGCCTCGTTGAGGCCAATGGTCTATCCCGATGCTCGGTGCGCCACCGAAGGGGTTCCGCATTCGCCAGCACGTTCGGGCACCAGACGGACCGCACGGCCTCCGGTGAGGCAACTATGGCCGGCCTAATGCTGGATCCATGCCCCATTTGGGCAGAAGCAATGGATTCCCGACGGATGGAGTCCGAGCGCAGCCGTCCACGAGCCATCTCCTTGGTGCCGCGCGGGATGAGCTCGAGGTCGACGGATTTGGAGGTGAGGACTCAGATCTGCTGCCCGCCATGCCGGAGAGGACCGAAAGGAGCCAGAGACGAGCTTGGGTGACGGAGGGGAGTGAAGTGGCTAGGGTTTGGTCTGGTGAGCAGATGGGAAGGATTTTATGTGGGGTCGGATGGGCCGGGCCCGACGTGGCAGGCGTGCCCCGGCGTGCCCGGGCACGCCCGGGCGCCCCCGTATCCGCCCCAATATGGGACGGATATGGGGGCGCCGGTCAGCCGGGACGTTTGAGGGTCGTTTGAGAGCCCCGTTTGGGTCAGAAAACCGTGACTTGGCAGTGACCGGGCGGCCTGCCCGGGCGTTTGAGACTGGTTTGAGGGGTCCAGTTGTAGGTGCTCTAACCACACACCTCATTTGCAAACCCCTATTTCCATACTCATCCATGCAACTTCAAATTCATCATACATAAATAAACGAGCTACATTAGACTATCCTACCTTCACTCATTGTCATGGGAGATGTAGATGCCCCTCTCGCCGGAGCCGCTGGGCTTGTGGTCATTGGCGGCTGGGTGAAGCTCCAGCGCCTCCTTGTCGTCCTCGTTTGTTACAAGCCGCTCCCGCCTCCGTCGGCGAGGTAGATATGCGGTGGTTCGCCACCACCTCCCGCTCGGACTGGAACGACTCCAAAGATCGCTTGGTTTTCGGCCACGAAGATGGGATTAGCGGCGCAATGCGGCATTGCCTGCTTGCTCCGCCTCCAACGGTCACTCCACTACAAGTTGCGCTGCAACTCCGCCTCCTTCATGCCAAATCCATCGGGCTCTATGCCTGGTGCCATCTCCTCTGGCCCCTCCATGTCCGCCTCGTCCTCCTCCTTCATAAGGGGTGCAACGTTCCTCTACCTCGCACACCTCCGCATGATCTCCGCTCGACGCTCGGACGTGAGCATTTTGCAGTGTGTGATCTTCCGTCGGACCATAGGAGGTCAGAGTTGGAGTGGAAGTAGACGGGGGAAGCGGTGGCGGTGCGGGCGGGAGGGAAACGGGGACAATTAGTGTTTATCCTCGCCTTCCGGCTTAAATAGCCGCGCGTGTTCCGACCGTCAGTCTGACGTTGCAGACACGTGTGAGCGTTCGCATATTCGCCCCACATATGAACTGGACATGTGGGGCACCGGACAACCCAGACGTTTGGACTGGGTTGGGGGGTGGGGGGAGGGGGAATCCATTGAGTGGCGTTTTTTGTTAGTAGGAAAGTGAGGGGTTCGGTTGTAGATTTCTGAATTTATTCAAAAGTGATTCGAGATTGTACACCCTTTTCTTATTTGATGCTCTCACAGTCACAGTCACAGGTGAGGTCTATCAACCTAGAACCGCCATGTCTTGCAGCATGCTGTTCTCACTCTCTTGTCATGTAATTTGTACGGCACATTGGACCTACTATACTTGTCCACATTAGTAATTTGTCATGTCACCCCCCTCATGGGAACTTCCTTTTGGTGTGTCACTCTACTGTATAGCTGGTGCTGGACAATTGCACATGGTCTTGGACATAGTACAATAGTGGTAGTATAATCTAGAGTGGAGTGTGTTGATTTCACATTGGTCCCAGCTGCCCCAGGATAGGAGGTAGTAGTGAGTAGTGACTGTTTCCCTCCCCTCGCGCGCGCGCACACACACACAGTCCAACTCGCCACTCGTGAGATTCTCGCTTGCTTTGCTTTCTTTCTGCCGCTGCTGCTTCTCACGGGAGAATTATGTGTGTCATGCATTCCTTGGTTGTTGACGTTTGTTGTGTCTTGAATGTTTGTTGCGCCTTTTCCCATTCGGTGCCAAGTTGCCAGCACAAGGCACACAGCACCCCGCGTGTGAGGCGTTCGTCGCCATCATCGTCTCTACACTACACTTCACTCTGCTCGCCAAGCAATCACGCTGACACGCATAAATTGCCACGCCTTTGTCACCTCCTCTATGCCGTCCTCGTAGGCTTGCCACAACATCAGCATTCTGTTGCAATGTTGCACGAGTCCCTCGAGAGATTTTTCTTTTTGTTGTCGTTGCGGAGTAGATTTCGTTGCTTTGCTTTTGGGTAACATTGGACACCCTTGTATAGCTGCGCGATTGTAGTATGCTCTTCTCAACCATTTGTGACCTGGACGTATGCGTTAAAGTGGCAGGGCTATCGCTCCATTTCTCCATTGCTGCACGTCTAAGAAAGTCGATAGATGGGGAGAGCCACCACCAGGTTTACGCTTGCAAGTCTTGTCAACCCTCCGCTCTGCCTCTACGTGGATGATATCTGCAGGCAGGTATGATGCTGACGGGTGGCTTGTGGGAAGCTGAAAGTAACGACCTCGTTCGCCCTGGTTTCTCCCCGTCACCTGGAGTCCGAGTATCAATTGTTGGAGGATCATTATCTTTATCTTACTACCGGTTGCATATACTCCCTCCGTTCCTAAATATTTGTCTTTCTAGAGATTTTAATAAGTGACTACATACGGAGCAAAATGAGTGAATCTACACTCTAAAATATGTCTACATACATTCGTATGTTGAGTACATTTGAAATGCCTAGAAAGACAATTATTTCAGAACGGAGGGAGTATTTGGCAAATCCACAGACACGGTTGAAAAACATGAGAACTCTAGATGACGGCTGCATACACACGCCATTCATTTCACCAGTTTACTCATGGCCGGCATCCATGTCTAACACGGATACACTGGCCGTCGGAATTCAGCACTCGTTATGCGTTTCTAAATGCTGGGACGACTTTTTAGGCATTGACACCGTCAGGAAGTTTCAGCGCGCACGTGCTTGGTAAGCTCTGCAGTTGCCTCCTCTGAAGGCTTAAGTAGAAAGATAGCTCCCCAGCATCTCCCGAAAGGAAAAGCGAGAAAGATAGCACCGCTTCTGAAGGACAGCAAGTTAACTGCCAATGTAAATGGCTTCACATGAATGTACTCACGCGCATCCCACTGCCCAGTGTTCACCACTGTGCTACCAGTATAGTAGAGATCCATCAAGCGTACGTCATGAAGGCCGAAATGTCAAGAAAAGCAAATGAAAATCGCAGAAGTTTATTCAAGGGTGGATAACCAAACAACTTTTCAACGGAACACGCGGCATTACAGTCTCACTGGCAGCTGCACCAGCTAAACACTGAAGCAGAGAAAGGAGGCTCAGGTACTCCTACACTGCACCAGAGCTGAGCTGCAGCAGATAGATAGTTGGCACACCTATGCTTGGTGATAGCTGTTGGTCGAGGGTACTGGAGGCGGATCAGGCAGGCGGCGGCGCCGGCTTGACGAAGACCAAGGGGAAGTCCATGACGACGACCTTGTCGAGCGCGGCCATGAAGGTGGCGGCGAACGCAGAGTGCTTCTCATGGCCCATGCACGCCGCCAGGTCCTCGGCGCTGGCGAAGGTCATCACGAAGACGTGGGTGAAGCCCTGCGTGAGCGCCTCTTGGTTCAGCACGTCCTTGCCCCTGCAATATGCATGGTGTCAAGTGCTAGTTGAAGAAATATCGATGAATGAAGTATGGTACACGCAATCTTGATCTTTTACTGACGGCTGGCCTTAAAAAAAAGCTTTGGTCACTGGTTTATAGCACAAAGTTCTTCAGAAGAAATGCAGCACTAGATTTAGATACATTAAAGTGCACTGCAATTACTTTTCACAGCACAAGCTAAGGAATGCAAAGTATTTATGCGTACCAGCCGAAGTATTTGACGGTGTCGAGCTCCGCGGCGAGCTTGGTGAGCTCCTGGATGATGTCCTC